CCATAGCTTTTCTAATTAGAGAGGAAGGTGTTCTTCTTCCTCGTTTTGATTTCAGTGAGATTCTTTTGCTCTATGGCATTTTTTGGGAGCTGGAGTGTGAGTTAATTGAGAAAAATATCAGAGAATTTCTGCACTCTATTTGAGTATTAGGAATTCTCTCTTTTAAAAAAAAAAATTCCAAGCCAGATCTAGAAGCTTCTCCTGGAGTTCATGCTCTGTGCCCCAGTGCCTCTTCTGGGTTTTGGGCTGCATTGCATTCAGGTTGGAGAATAATAGATGGAAAAAAAATAATAAGCTCACTATTTGCTTTTGAGAAAGTAAGAGATGAGATAGCTCTTCTATGCATTCTGTCCAAGGTTTATAGCCACACTGAACAGAAGAAACAGGATGAAGTGTGATAGATGGCTATTCCATCTTCCCTGGGACTGGAACTTCAGTATTCTCTCACAGGTTTAATAATAACCACCATTCCTACACACCATGCTGACCACTTTCCATGGCCTATCCTGTGTTTCTCCAGCTTGATTAATATGTGGTCTTCTTTAAAAGGAAACGTATTCTTTCATGGGCTCCTAGAGTTCGTTTATGTTATTTTAGACAATTATTTTGTTCCTTACATATGTATCGACAGACAACTAGGTTTAGCCTTCTTATGCTTACAATATTTAAACAACTAGAAAACAAAAAGAAATTGATAAGCGCAAGCAAAAGTATGACACAAAGCAATGCAAACCCACATCATTTATTGAATGTGACAGATGACAGTGTTTGTTGAAACTAAGAAGCTGTTCATACTGTGAATTGTAGTGTCTGACTGTGGTGTGGGTTTGGTTTTTGTCATATCAATGCTCTCTTGTGCTGAGTGATGATTCAATTCTCCCACTAGTTTCTCTACTTAACCACTGCATCATCCTGAAGCTTCCATTTTACAGTGTGCTATGATATCATTTGGCCCATCTTTAAATGAACTCAGTATTTACATATTAACAGTCTTTTTAACATATTAAGATAGCACATTTACATATTAAGTCTATCTCTTTTTAATGGCTGAAAATCATTAAAATAGTAGTCACGGATGCTAACACTAGTGCAGATGCCATTGAAAACTTTATTTATTTTTTATTTTTATTTATTTTCACATTTGGTATTTTAATTGAATTTTCCAGCAGACAATCTACATATCTTCTTCATCCTTTCTTTTAAGTTAGTGTGACAATTTTCCATGATAAACTACTTAAAGAAAAGTTTTGGTCAAAAATGGAATGAAATAGAAAAAAAAATTCACTGCTGCTTAAGTCAACACTTTCACCAATTTTATAGTCAAACAATACCACACAACATTTGTGCGATATGTGTTTTCAGTGTTTCCTCGGAACTGGTCATTGAAAACTTTAATACGTAAATCTCTTGGTAGGACTTTGTCATGAGGTAGTCAACCAGATAATTTGGAATATATTAGTATTAGAATTTTTGGCTTGCTATCCAAAAAACCCCTGCATATTAAAAATGTAGTTTCAGGTCAGGCTCGGTGGCTCGGCCTGTAATCCCGGAACTTTGGGAGGCTGGGGCAAATGGATTGCCCGAGCCTGTGGGTTCGAGACCAGCCCCGGCAACTGGGAGAGACCCTGTCTCTACAATAAATAAAAAAAATTAGCTGGGTGTGGTAATGCACAACTGTAGTTCTGGCTACTTGGAAGGCTGAGGCGGAAGGATCACTGGAGTCCAGCAGGTTGACACCGGGGTGGCCATGCGTGCCACTGCACTCCAACCTGGGCAACAGAGTGAGACTCCAACTCAAAAAAAAAATACTTCGTTTCTGAAAATTTGTAACACTCAGAAAATATATTTGTGGATCCCAATTTGAGAAACATTGCAATATTATTGAATTTAACCCTTTCAACAATTTCATTATCATCGGCTTACAGTAAGGAAAATGAGGTTTAGTGAAGTAACTTGGCCAAAGTCTCATGGGGAAGTCCCTGATTAGGTCATATCAACAATAGTGACTGAGTTAAGTTGAGCAAAGATGGTGACTGGGGGTCTAGTCCTGTCATGTGGACTGGGGATGGGAAAGAGAGGAGGAGTGTGGTGTTGTCAGCTGTGGGCAACACAGCAGGTAGCTACTCTAGATGTCCTGGCTTCTGGGGTGTATAATCATTCTTCTTGCTTTTTCCAGTCCCCTAGCTTATACAGCACCTACACAGGAGAAGTCATTGAACTTAAATTGAGCTCCTTGATACACAGGGGATCATTATGGAAGTTTCCCAGAAAGAGAAATGGAAACTATCGTCTTTAAGTTGCAATATAAGCTCCTGGCTTTGGAGAAGTTGACATATTGCCACTGGGCAACAGGTCTCTTGTGCCAGAGGAGTGAAGGGAGGAAAGCAGGGACAGGCTCCAAGAAGTGCATCCTTTTGACCTTAAGAAGAGTTCCTTCTTCCTGCTGGTGTGCCAGGCCCATAGGAAAACATCCTGTCCCAAAAGTACGATCCTTCACAAGCTGAGCGACAGCCACATTGATTTTAAGACTATTAGACAGAGCTGGAGCTCTTAGAGGGGTTTGTCTCTGTTTTTTTTCCTCTGCTATTATATTATATATATTACATTTCCACTCAGTTATAGTGATCATAACCAGAAAGGGAATCCCCATGAATGCCACTCCAGTGGTCCCCGAGCCTACCTCTTGGGCCTAGTTAGATTGTGAACTAACACACTGCAGGCTCTGTCCTGTCTCTCCTGCCCCAGACACTGCCCTGGATTCTGGGACTGTGAGGAAACAGAGTGGGCTCCCTATACTTGACAAGCTTGAACAAACTCCTTAGGGTAGTCCAGGGATCCTGTCTTTTATTTTTTTAAATACTGAGGTGAAATGCACATTGCATACAACTAACCATTTTGTTTGTTTGCTTATTTATTTGACAGGGTCTTGGTTTGTTGTCCAGGCTGGAGTGCAGTGGTGCAATCACAGCACAGTGCACCTTGAACTTTTGGCCTCAAGTGATCCTCCTGCCTCAGCCTCCAGAATAGCTTGAACTACAGCTGTGCACCACCACACCTGGTTCAATTAACTATTTTAAAGAGTAAAATTCAGTGGCATTTAATGCATTCATAATGTTGAACAACCACCTTCTCTCTCTAGTTTCAAAACTTTCTTATCTTGCCAGAAGGACACTCCATTCCTTTGAAGTAAACCTCCCTCACCTTCTCCTTCCTTACTTCACTGCTGGCCCCTGGCAACTGAGAATCTGCTTTCTGTCTCTATGGATTTGCCCATTCTGGATGTTATATCTAAAAGAAATCCAACAATATGTTGATCTTTTATGTTTGGCTCCTTTCACTTAGCATAATGTTTTTGTGATTCATCCAAGTTTAGTATGTATTGGTACTTCATTTCTTTTTATGTATGATTTGTTTAAAAATGCCATATCTATACTAGTATCCTTATGCATTGTAACAGACCTCTCCCCCATTTCTCATTCTCTTTAACCTTCTTTTCTTTATAAAGAGCCTGGAGGGGGCGGGGAGTCTCTTTAAACCTGTAGAGGAACTCAGAGCGAGTTTATTGTTGCTCTTGATCAAGATTTATTTTTAAGGTATTGGATGAGATGGGACAGCAAGATTACTGTTAACACAGTGTTTCTGAAGTCCCTTCCCTAGGGTCTGTGGAAGGTCAAAGGTCCTCTGACTGTAACATTTATTGAGCTCTTCCTATGTGCTGGTATGTTCTGCTAGAGGAAAGAGCCCGTGTGGGTTGGATCACCAAGTGGGATAAGATACCAACCCTGCCCTCACACAGCATGCAATTCTGAGGGGGTAGTGACCGAAACATCACCAACCATGACAATGCAGTGCAGTAAACGCTTCTGTTAGATGTTTGCTCAGGATGACGTGTAAGCTCTGAGCCAGGGCACTTAATCAATTGAGAAGACTTCCAGAAGAAACTGATGTCTGAATCCTGAAGCCAAGAGAGAATTACCCAGAAGAAGAAGACCAGGAAGGAAGCAGTCATGGGAAGGCCCAGAACATCATGGTGAGCCCTATAGGCAAACGAGACACCCAATGAAAGGCAACAAGAAAGACACGGAGCAGTACTGACTTTCCTGCAGCAAGACAGCATGGGGCAGCCCATGCATGGGCTGGCGAGCTTTTTCCCACCAGATAGGTCAGAGAGCCAGGCATGTCCGTGTGGTCCTGGGATGGATATCAACAGGACTCTGCAATCTCAAGTTGCTGGTATATGAAGGGGAACCCCCAAAACCCCAGAATTTATTTATAAACTATTGTGTATTTATTCTTACATGTTTAAACTTCAGCTGCCTTCAAAGTTCTCTCCATCTGATACAATATTCCTATCAGGACACTTTTTCCATGGCTCAAAACAGTTTTTGAACTCATCCATTTTGATGCTTTTTAGTGCTTCTGCTATTTTTGTTTCATATCTTCCTCATTAGCAAAATGTTTCCCTTTGAGGACTTTTTTCATCAGGGGAAGCAAAAAAAGGCTGCTCATGGGGAGATCGGGTGGATAGGGAGGGTGGGGCATGGAGGTCATGCCCTTTGGGGTCAAAAACTACTGAACACTCAACGCCGTGTGGGCAGGTGCACTGTCATGGTGGAAGAACCAGTCATCTGTTTGCCACCAAAAAAAAAAAAAAATCACTGAAGCAGAATGCAGCCTCTCACACCAATAGCTGGTACATTGATGCTGATGGGTTCTCAGAATACTTACCTAATGGGGGAAGCCTGTACTACAAGAGGTCTGCCCTCCAGAGGATAATTCTAGTTCTTTTTGGGTCCTCCGCATATACTACGAGAGGTAGTGAAGCAGCCTCCCATGTTCTTATATCCACTGCCCAGAAAAGCCAAGACTGAGACAGCAACTGTTGCAACAGAGAAGGAGTTTAATAATTGCAAGGAGCTGAGTGAGGAGGGTGGGAGATAGTTCTCAAATCCATCTCCCCAAGAACACAGAAGTTAAGATTCTTAAGGATAATTTGGCAGGCAGGGAGCAAGGGAATTGGGACTGCAGATTGGTTGGGAATGAAATCATAGCGGTGCTGAAATTGTCTTCTGGTGGGGGGGTGGGGTAGTCAGTTTCAGGGTGGGGGTCAGGTCACTGATCTGATTGGCGTCAGATGGTCTACCAGGATGCAGAGCCTGAAAAACATATCAAACACCAGTTGCCGGTTATGTTATCTATAGGAGCAATTGGGGAAGTTACAAATCTTGTGACCAATGAATATGGGAGAAGAAATCCCTGGTGATCAAAGCCACTCACCATACTTCGGCTGATTAAACTTCTGGATACCATCAAGGTGGTCAGCATGACCCACAGCCCATTGTTCTTCAAGAGAAAAACAAGTTTGTTAATCTTGCAGGGGGCTAGGAGGCAGAAAAGGTCAAAGAGAAAAGGAAATAAGCATAACAAACATCTTATTATTTGGATCTTAAAAAATTCAGGGCCCCATTACAATTCTAACCTTGTAGCTTTCCTTAATCTTACAAAGATGGCTTCAAGTGTGGGGGTTATGAGCTGTACTCTGGAGCTGGACAGGCTGACCTCAAATCTTGATTCTGTCACTTACTAGATGTGGATCTCAAGCTAAATATTTAAATGGCAGTGCCTCAGTGTTGTCATCTGTAAAACAGAAATCATAACAGTGCCTACTTCTTTGGGTTGTTATGAGGATTGCATGAATCACCACAGGGCACGTGGAGCCCTTGACAACAGTGCCTGGCACCGAGTCTGTGCTGTCATGAAAGGAAGTACTCGGCAAGTCTCAGCCTGGATTGCTCCTCTGGGCTGATCACAAAAACCACCCTTCAGAGTGGTACTACATGCCAGGCACTGGTGATTTGCACATCGTCTCACTGAATCTCCTGACAACCTGGTGAGTGAAGTTCAAAAAAGACTTGACAGATGAGTCATCAGGCTTGGGGAAACCCTCTCCCAAAACCACAGCTAATAAGGGATGTTGTCAGCATTTGGACCCAGTGTGCCTGTTTCTAGAGATCTGTCTTAACTACACCTGTCTTCTGTCTCCTTTGGGTGGAGGTTCCCACAGAATATTAGTGAGACCTCTGCGGAGGGCTGGGTCTTGGAGGGACGGGGTGACTTCCGAGGTCACTTGATATTTCAACAGCTGTTTGGAACACTTGGGGACTTATCCCCTTCTCTTACGACTCAAGCAACAATCCTCTAGTCTGAATGCACACTGGTCCGTGCCCCACTGTGTCAGATTAATTTCATATTTGCTCCATAAACCAGAATGCAAGAAAGTTTCTTTCTTGGAACCAAGTTTACCTGAGCACAGAGGCCACATTTAGAATCTGGAAAGGTGGTGAAGCATGTCAGGGGGATTCACACTTCCCCTTGGGGTACCACCACCTGGTCAGTGGGAGCTGAACCTCAACGTGTGGCCATAGAATTGGCTTGCGGGGAATTGACTTTAGACTGGGCACCAGAGGCCGGCACATGACTGAAGGGCACACAGCCGTCCCGGGAGGATTGTAGGAACAAGCATGGGGTGGGGGCATCTGCGTCTTAGGACCCTGGGGTTTTCCAGCTACTAGAGGTGTGGGTGAGGGACTGTGAGCTCCCAAGGGTTAACCCTGCAAGCCATGTGCCGCAGAGCTGGCACTCATTTGTGACTGCTGTTTCTGTCTTCATCATGATGGAGGGGTAATTTTTGCTAAGAGCTGTTAGAGTGCCCAAGCCAGTAATTGTCGGGGAGAGTGGTCATAATCACATTTCCGGCTTCCATCAGGGCCTTGGATCCTTCAAGGCACCAAAGCGCCCGACTGGAGGACTTCCCAAAGGGGGCCTCTCAGGAGAGGCCTAGAAACACAGTCCTCTTTTGTAGTCTACAGGGTTGGGGCCAGAAAAGTACCACCCTGTAAAAACTTAGAGGTTGAATTCTGTCCCTTTGGCTACTGTTGATTTGGGGATGGAGGAGGAAGAGAAATGGGGCTCCATGCATTTACCTGGTAGTTCACGCCAAAAAAGGAGTCATTCTTCATTCTTTTATTTTCTTTCTATTGCTGACCCGTTTAATCCTAGTTAATAGATAACTAGGAAAGTCCAAATGTATAGATTTTCTCTTCAAAACACATCTCCAAACCAATCCACTTCTCTCCATTCACACTGACTCTATCTGCTTGGAGATGGTCTACCCTGGTGGGCATGAGCTGGATGGGCAGTGGGCTTCTAGCGGTGTGTGATGTAAGTAGTAAGGAATGAGTGCTTCTGGGCTCCCTGAGGACACAGGTATTATCTGAGGAGTCTCTGCAATTAGAAGAGGGGAGGAAGAGAGGTGAACCCTCCCTCTCTCCAGCCCTTCCTCCCTCCTTCCCTCTTTCCTTCCTCCCTCCTTCTCCCTCTCTCTCTTTCCTCCTCATTTGTTTCTCTCCCTCTCTTCCTGTCTCATTTTTTCTTCAAGAATTTATCTATCATTTGTCATGTGCCAGGGTTGAGGGACAACACACATGGAGAAGACACACCAAGGAGTTCCCTATCTAGCAGAAGAGACAGCAGACACTCACAACCTGGAGTGGTGACGGGGTCTATGCAAGGAGCTGGGGGAACCCAGAGGAGAGAGCACTGGACTCTGCTTGGAATGGTAGGCAGGGCCAAGGAGAAGATACGGGGAGGGTCATAAAGGAGCTGGCATTGGAGGGGGACATGGAAGGTGTCTTCCAGGTGACGAAGTAAGGAAGGGCATCCACAAGGAGGAAATGGCACAAGGAAAGCCTTGGAGGTATCAAAGAGAATTGCACAGGTGTTCAGGAAATGGGGTGGATAGTGTTCTAATGAAATGTACTCATTAACAACACAAAATAAATGTTGCTCCATTGCAGACTATCCATAGGAATACATTCATGCCGGTTGTGGGCATTTAAAATATGTCTGACTTTAAGAAGACCAAAATAGATATTAATTAATATCTTGTTAGATATGTATTGCTAAAATTGTGAATATATTTTATTGAGTAACCATGGATTTTGGTTCTTCTGGAACATAACATGTCATGAGGGTTAGAGAGAAAAGATTGAAATTAAGATAGAGCCACCTTAATAATACTTGACTTGCTGCATGTGTTAAAATTTTCCTTTTTTTTTTTTGAAAAAATTTCAAATACAAAAGTAGAGAGACGAGTACAGTGAAGCCTTGTGTACCCACAATCTGGTTTAAGTAACCACTAACATTCTCCCATTTTTGTTACCTTGTCTCCCTCAACTTTCTTCTTTAATTGTTGGAGTATCTTGAAGCAAATCCAGTACCTTCAGTATAATTTCTTTTTTAAAAAAATGTATAACTACAAAAATATAACCAATAATTTCTTTAAAAAAATGTAGCCACAATATCATTTTCACATCAAGCAAATAGACATTTCTTAATATCATTCAAAATTCTGTCTATGATGAATTTTCTATCTCAAAAATGTCTTTTTGCTGTTGGTTTGTTTAAATCAGAATCCAAACAGTCCACACACATCATGTGGGTGATTTGTTTCTTGATCTCGCTTAGTCTATGCTAGTTATCTACACCAGCTCCCACCTTAATTTTTCTCTTTTGTAAGGGACTGGGGTATTCTGTAGAATGCGATTGCGTTTTGATTATTGCACCCTCATGGTGCTACAAACTCCTCTAACTGCCTTATTTCCTACAAGCTAGTCGTTAGAGCTAAGGGTCTGAACAGGAAGACTTCATAGGTGGTGCTGTTGAGTCCTACTGAATAACGTTTGTCCATGGGGAACCTTGTTAACTTTCCTCACTGGGTTCAGATGATGTCAGACTGATACGTTCATTATCAAGTTTGTATTAAGATTTTTAAGCAGGAGTGACAAAAACAGATTTGTGTGACGAAGATCTCCCTGATTGCTGTATATGGAGAATGAACTAATGAAGTGATCTTGGAGGGAATGAGACCGATTGAGGCAGTTGCAGTGGTCTAGGTGAAAGTGGAAGACTTTTGGCTAAGACAGTGGTAGTAGCAGGGATGACGCAGGAGGGTCCACAATTGAGAGATTAAGTTGGCAGTGGGTGTCTACTCGATGTGGACTTAAAGGAGTAGAATTCAGCTAATCTGTTGGCCTGTCATCTTTTCTCTAGATGTATCATAACTTAGGTGAGCTTATCTGTTCTGATGGTTTTAAGTATCCTCACTTGCTGATAGCTCCTAAAGTTGTATCTTTTTTTTTTTTTTTTTGAGTTGGAGT